TTTTTTATTTTGAAGTTCTGCTTTTAATTGCAATGGAAAAAAAATATTCGATTTCACTCCGCGTTTTTTTAATTACCGGTTGTTAATCTTATCTTTATTAAATCCGACATTTTTAAAGAATTCATCAGCAGGTAATTTCGTAATTAATTAATTCTTTCAGATGGCAAGATCTCGGTTCCGCTGGATACCTGCTGAAATATCGTAAACGTTGATACCAACAATAATTCGAAATTGAACTGAGCACGTTTTGCGAGGACAACCGCACGACACTCACCACCTCATCTGTGATCACACATTTCGGCCCTGCTTTTGGACTTCGGCTGTTATAAAAAGGATAATAAAAATTTTCAGTCACACAAAAGACCGAGTTTATCATTCATAACTTTCCCACCGGATTCCTACGAAATTCCTAAGGTAATTCAAACCGGAAATCGTTTAAAGCAAAAGGGACTGGTGTAAAGTTGTTATCAATTCACAAACCGTCACGATACACCGGCGTTTATGTCGAAAATATTTTTTTGTCTTCGGTTACTTTATGTTGCTTCACGGATATTAGCCGGTAATTTCTCGCGTTCGTCGTCAACTCTGACTACCGATCAGACTGGGATGCCTTTAAAATTTATTACTCCCCTCAAACATTTGTATCTGAAATGTCAATTTATATTCATGATTCCCGACCGATTCAATTCATTCATTTTTACTACCCACATTTTCTGAATAATTATTCAATTTGTACAATGATGTACATTACCTCCTGGAGTAAACCACAATTGCACATTATAAATAATAATTCTAGAATTAATGTACCAGTATTTTTTTTAACTGATAATTTTAGTTGAACGAATTAATGTTGGGGAAAATAAATTTCTCCACTCGAGGAAAATATTTTTTTGCTCTCCGGTTGAGAGAAAATTTCGGTAATTTTTACTGAATACTTTTTTATAAACATTCAGAACCTGATGGGACTGTTGTCTATTTATTTTTATTGATTTAATTATTTGTTTACTTCTGCGGATCAATGTTTTGTTTCCATATGATGAATTTAGATTAAGCTAATATATTCAGCGAACATCCAGACAATTTAATTTAATAAAAAGATCATTGTCTGGCACGCACAACTCCTTATTCGCAGACTTGCCACAATCTAATGCCATCGTGATTTGCCTCGGAATCGTCAAGTTCTGCCGCACAAACTAGAAAGGCAAAATCCCTCAAGTAAAAAAAAAACATTGCATGTTTCTCACAGGTGGATGAAATAATACAAATGCATTCATGACAGGGAGAATTTCTCACGCGTTCACTGCGATTATAATGACGAGATATTCGAACACCAGACATTTTCACCCCCAGGATCAATATTTGAGGATCATGCAATCCCTCTGCTCAAACATGCAACGCATTTTGTTGGGAAATCGTCAAGGACGACACTTAAATTGCAGGATAGGATTTATCTACCTCTGGAGTACAGGAAATTACTGAGTAATTTTTTACCGACGATGTCTATGATTTATAGAAGTGTCAGTGATTTCTAGGAGTAAGACTTTTTATTTCCAGAGCATCATCATTCGGACTCCAATTGTCTATATGAATTTGTCATGCAGATCTACACGGAGAGAATCATTTAGTAAAAATTACGGAACTTTTAGTTAATTTACCGATCACGGAGTTGATTCGAAAAATTTAAGTGACGGTATCGTTATTTTTCACCGATAATTCAGATAAAAATTACGGAACACCGCGAAATAATTCCATGACTTTAGATAAAAATTACGTGACAGTTCCGTAAAATTACCGACAACCGACAATTTTTATTGAATATTTCTCTCAATGTAGTTCCGTGAATTCCTGAAAATTCTGATTGCTGTCTAAATAAATATCACAGCTACCGTTTCATGAATAATACATCATATCGTCCACTATTTATTGCTATTCGATTTATTACGACTTTTAAGAAGTCACGGACATGCGTTTTACGTTTTTTTTTTCGGCGAATTGATGATATAATTTCAATTGAAAATTTTTTACGCGTATTTTCAGTGTCTTATCACATTCTTCAACTTCTAGTGCATTGGAATTGGTGGATATGTCTGTGAAAATGCGGTGTGGAGGTGGAATGGTGGAGAAGTAAAATTGTCTGGTGAATCTGTGTAAAAATTGCGGTTCAGGGGAGGTATGGGACAAAGAAGATTCCTGCAAGACGAATGGCCGTAGGTACGAGCGTGGAATTCCATTATTATGGGAATTGCATCATTCG